TGATCCTCCGATCTCTGTCCCAGGGGGATGCCCAGGAGATAAGCAAACCAAACCCTTGGCAGGCAGCAGGAGCCGTTGCGTTGCTGATACCCATCAGGAGTTCAGCGGCGCCCCAAGGAAGGAGCAAGCGCAGCAACACGATGATAATAACGAGGTTTCATTCAAAGATAACCATCAGATTTTGTCTGGTTGCTGGACAAGCCTTGCCAGCCGAGCTGGGCAGAGTTTGCTGTGTCCCGTTTCCCGGTGTCCCCGTGTCGTTACTGTAATGTAAACTTCATGCTCGGGAGAAGAATGCCTTGGCAACAGCTCCTGGCAAAACTCGGGCCTGCAGCGAGTGTCCCTGGCTGGAAAGGGCTCCACCTGTTAGCTGAGAGGGGGAAGCTAATCTGCCGTATCTGCAAATTTTAGAAACTGAGCACTTCCTCCCTATGGAAAAACTGCTAAATGCTGGGCTCCTGCCAGGAGCTGGAGGAACACCGTGAGCTGGGGATGGAGACTTGCCCAGCGATGCCTGGGATTTAAATCCTGTGAGCCAACTTTCTTTGGGCAGTGAGTGGGTAATTCTGGGCGCTGGATGCAGTTTGCATCAAAGACTGCTAAAACTGTAATACATTAGTGCCGTTCCAGAGGCACTTGGAGCTTGTCAACTGCCAAGAAAAATACAGGGATGGCAAGAGATTATCCTGCTGAAGATCCACGATGAGAGGGAGAGAGACTCACCCTGCACTCCCACCCTGTCACATCGCCCCGAAGGTTGTACAGAGAGAGAAGATAAAGAAGGAATTATAAATTTAAAGACAAAATTGCTGTGCTCTGCAGTTAACCTTGCTTTTAGCCTCTCCTACATGTGAACCACGCAGCTGGGGGTTAGCAGGGCCTAAAACTGAAGGAATGAAGCCTATCCCTCTATTTTTCTTTATGCCTGATTTCAAGGACGGTTTAGGAGAAGGGAGCGTTTCCTCACGTGAAGTAACTACCCACCAAAATGGCAACATCATTACTTCTTGAACCAACTCTTTTTGACTTTGGCCCATCCCTCTGGCCCTGCTGGAGAGCAGGATTCTGCTTTGTGACTTTTCTTCTCCGAGGTCGTGGTTCTTACCCTGTTCCCAAGGAACGCCGTCTCAAATAAGAGAGGAGAACTCTGCATAGCAATAGATCCTCTCGGGTTACTAAACTTATTCACTCTCCTAAATTTAAGGTTGGAGGATTAATAGTACCTAAAGGAGGACATATCTACCCTTTTACTTCCTCTTTGTCCTCTTCTCCTTCCTCCAGTAACCTCAGGTAACCCAGTTGGCTCAGCGTGAAGGGGAGCTTTGGCCCCCTGAATCCCAGTGAAAGTGTTTTGCTTGTGGAGTGGTTCATTCACAGTGCTTTATTTTAGCAGATATGCACAAGAAAACGTGCAGCAGAAATTTGGTGGAGGGGTATCAGCACTCAGGGCTCTCAAAAATTTTAGGTGTGTGCCCTGAGTACTTGTAAACAAAATATCTGTTCCTTAATTTGTGTCTTGGTAAAATGATGTCATGGATGAAACTATTAATACCATTAATGTGTGTGCAAGTATGAATTCCCTGGTAAAATATTAGTCTTACTCAGTTGATACCTTAAAAAGACACACAGAAATACATTGAAACCTCTAAAAGCTGCCATTTAATCTGTTATAACCTTTATGAATGCTTTTTAATGTTCAGATCTGTAGAAATTACCAAAGTTATTCATTATCTAAGTTGTTTGCCTCATAATTCTTGCTCTGAGATGTGTTAAATATGTCATAGTACATTAAGATGCAAGCAGTGTGGTTTTTTTAGGGTCTCTGACTAAAAAGTGATGTAAATAATCCTTTGCTTGATAGTTGCTTGTGTAAGACCACAATGAGATTTTCAGAGCTGAGCAGGGGTTACTCAGTACCTCTATTTATCAAACGCCATGTTTGGAAACTCCTTTTCCACCTCACTTTCTCAACTCTCAGTGTAATCAGTAGTATGTAATGATACAACAGTGCAAAGAGTTCTTGCATTTTAGTATTTGAGGCAGGCAGGGAGCCGTACCTGTCACTTAGGAAACTGTGTTACTCTGCCCTGAGCTCACACTAAAATCGGGATTTGCCAAGCAGTGCCCCCTGGCTGGATCACATTCCTTGAGCAGCAACTTCTCCTTGGCCACATACCCTGAGTGAGGGTTATTTCTCTTAGATATTAAAGCATATGTTGCTGCCCCATTAAGGCCTTACTCCCCCTTTGCACTTGGCTTTCTCCTGGTGGTAAATGCAGGCAGCAGACATGGAATGGCCGTGGCTCCCTTGGGGAGCGAGCGAGTGCCTGCTGCTGTCAGCACCCGTGGAGCCCCGGCACTTTGTCATCGTTTTCTCCCTGCAGGAGCCAGGAGAGTCGAATTACTGCAGATTTCGGTGTGGGAACAGGTGGAGGTTGATCCCATTATCCCTGCTGGTTGGAGCGTGCATTCCATCGGAACCACGCGGGATGGGACCAGCAGAACAGCGAGGCAACAAAGGCAGAAATTCAAAAGAGTGAGAGGGGCTTGTTTGTGCATTTCAACAGATATTTCATTTTAGAGTCCAGTGACTCGAGTGAGAGCCGGGGTTTTCCCTTGGCTGGTTCCCAGGCTATGCAGATGAAGTGGGTGTGTTTGATGAACACTGTAAATATAATTCTCTATCAAATACATACAAAGCTCACGCTATAGAGACATTCTTCAGTCTAAATTTAGATTCCCACTCAAGCTGCAGGTAACACTTAAACAAACCCAGCAGTGTGCAAAGGCAAGAATGGTTCACCTCCCTGCCTTGGCAGAGCTCTGCTGATAAAATTCCTCTGTAACCAGGCTCTGGTTCTGTAGGCAGCCAGGAGGGATTGTACCCAAAAGAAACCACTGCGTGGGCGAACTTTTCATGGCTATTCTCAGAGCAATATGCTTTTAGATGACGTCAGCTTTATTTAAGTGATTGGTACTGGTTGTGTTCCTAGGCCAAAATGTAAATAACTCATGGGGAAGGGTAATTTATATGAGGTGTGTTGGGGGGAAGTTCAAAGTATATCACAATAAATATGGGTGGCAATAAAAAATAGATTAGCTGTGAGTTTTGCAGGCTCAGACTCTTTAATTCCCAAAGAATTGCTCCTTGATCTGAAAAGGGATTATTATGTTCCTCTGTGTGTCCATGTCCACCTCTGTGTGCATCACATCCTTCACCTTCCTGCTGCATTTCAATGTGTTGGCACAGACATAAGACAGGTTGGTTTGTGCAGTTTGTGGGATTATGGAAATTGGGAGTTTATCCTTCCTAGAGTGTGTCTTGAACTTAACTGTGTGCACACTGGGCATATTAGTTCCCCTTCACAGTAGGAATATTGGGCTTGTGTTTCTTGCCCTCATCACCTGCTGACACTTGGAGGCTAAACCTGTGCTGTTGGAGCAGGAGGAACTTGTTGCAACAAGGAAAAAATCCAGATTAGAAAAAATTACCCACAGAGAGGAGGGTGAAAGCACTGGGGCTTGTGCGTGGCTCTTTGTGAACCGACCAAAGGAAGAGCAACTCATGTTGGCAGCCTAAGCAGCTAGTTTGGGATTGGAACTTGGAATCATGGAGTATCCTGAGTTAGAAGAGTCCCACAAGGATCATCAAGTCCAGCTCTACTTGCAGTAGAAGTAGAAAGAGCTGGATGTCCTGGTGCAGGATGTGCCTGTCCTTTGACATAAGCAGTGTAGGAGAGATGAACGTGTTAGATAATACGGGATTGTCTGGTTTTGGTGTGTGTGGGGATGTTGGTTAGAGAGGATTCCTCGTTTTCATTCCCTGCTGGGGCAGGAGTGGATAGTCAATGCTGCTCTTTATAGGCAGATCATCTGGGAATTGCCTGACTGCCATAAGGGATAGATGTGCCCACATCGAGCTGTGCAAAGGGGTTGAGTGCTGAGGTTCTGGAGCAATTCCGATTGTTTCCCTCTCTAGTAATGAGGAACTGGGATTCTGCCTGTGGATGGACACTCAGTAAAAGCCAGTCCTTGCCCCTCCTGGTCATGCCTGGTGCTTCCCAGCAGAGGCTCACGCGTTCGGAGCTGTGGATTAAATTGCCAGCTCATCCTTAAATAGCAGCTTCCAGTGAGCTGTAAATGCAGCGCAGAACATGCTGGAGCCAGGAATTTGAGGAAGGAGGAATTCCACCCAACAGAACTGCTGAGACTTGAAAATCAAGCTGGGCTTTCTTCTGACAACTTCAAAGCAGGGAGCTCCCTGTAAGTGCAGGCTCGGGAGTGACTACAGCGGCTCATCAAGGGCTGTCGTTCTCTTCAGCAGCTCACAGGACTGTGGAGCAAACAGGGAAAACTGAGAGATACTGCTGAATGAAGAAGTTATTAACTTCTCTAAAACCCTGCTTTTGCCCTGATGAGCTGTACACAAGGGGGTTGCTTTGGTCAGGCTTCTTCAGCTCCTGCTTTCCCTGCTCATCCCTGCCACTAGTGAGGTCTCATTTTATTCACTATTATGACTTAATTTCATTGACATTTTGAGGAACAACATAATCTAAACGAATACACAGCTTGCCTTGCTTAGAGGGATTTGATGCCATCCCTAAAACTAAGAGAGATCCATCATTTCAGCGTCCCAGCTGTGGGGAGGTAACAGTGGGAGAGCGAGGAAGGAAACAGTTCAGTGGTGAGAGGTAAAGCTTGAGCAAATTCAGAGGTTTTCCACCCGGGGAATCTGAGTTACAATTACTTTTTGAAAGTCCTGAAACTCATTTGTTTCAGTTCACAAATTGATGCTACCCTGAGCTTTAAGGTGTGCTCTCCCACAGCGTGGGAAGTTCAGCCCAGGAATTACCTGCTGCCAATAAACTGCAAGTGAGGGTTGTATGCTTGATTTTATAACAACATCTTGTTTTTTCTCCCTTTCCTTTCTCTTCAATCCTTCCTTCCCTGCATGTTCACCTCCCCTCCTCCCTCGACATTCCCCTTCTCTCCTCCCTCAGGCCTGCATTGATGAAAACCTGGACATGGTGAAGTTCCTGGTAGAAAATGGAGCCAATGTGAACCAGCAAGACAACGAGGGCTGGACCCCTCTGCATGCAGTGGCTTCCTGTGGCTATCTGAACATAGCAGAGTGAGTGAGTTTCGGGCTGTTCCGGGTATTTATAACACTTCCCGTGCCTTTCTCATCAGAGCAGGTACACAGGTGATGGATACTGTATATATCTCTTCGGTATAGAAGGCAAATTTAAAAATTGGTGGTGGCTTGGCTTGCCGGTTTTTTAGATTTCTTTTCTTTTTAGGGGATAATCAACCAGATTAGTACAGGAACCTGGAGTATTTAAATAACTATAGAGAAAAGAAAACTATGAGCCCCTGAGCAGGGACCCTGCATTAACAGTGAGCATTTTTAGTCTAGAAGTTGGCTAAGAAGGTACCCATTTGGTAATTGAACTTGAATGAGAAGGGCAGATATGTCGCTGTGCTGCCTGCTGTACTGTGTAAGTTGCTCTGACGCCTTCACACGAGGGCTGATGTGCTTGTCTGGGTCTCGTGGGTGCAGGTACTTGATCAGCCATGGAGCCAACGTGGCTGCTGTGAACAGCGAAGGGGAGGTCCCATCTGACATCGCAGAGGAAGCAGCCATGAAGGACCTGCTTCTGGAACAAGTGAAGAAGCAAGGTAAGTCAGCTGTGGGATTGAATATGGGAGAGTCAGAACCTAAAACTGTCCATAAGAGAACTCTGTGAAAGTGAAAAGATCTAAAATCTGGCTCAGGAGACAGCAGACAGATTTTACTTTGCTGTCAGGAGAGTGGAGCAGATGCAGGAGGTTTGTGGTGTGTTGTCCCTGTCCTTGGGATTCTTCAAGGCAAGACACCACAGCACTGAAATCTGATTCATTAGATCTGTTTGCTTGTAAAGTGAGATTTAATTCTGACCTCTGGTATCATTGAAAGGTCTTGTTTCATTAAGACTTGATAAAGCAGAGGGGAGATTTACAGCACTTCCAAGAGCAGGGAACAGGAAAGGAGTATTCCAGGCCTGGAGTGACCTGCTTTGTCCTGATCCTTCCCTGGAGTTCTTCTGCAGCCCATCTGCCATGCCCCCTTTCTCATCAGGTGTGCCTGGCTGAGGGATTGCTCTCCAGGCTGTCCCTGCATAAACATTCCCAGTAGAATCATCTTGGACTCTGTAGCTGATGTTATAATTAAGAAACGCTTTATTAGTGTGACATTTTCTTCATACCCATGGAATTCATCTGTGAGTCATTAAACGTACGTACACGTGGGTGAGAATTTTAAACCCTGTCTATGAAGTTCATCAAGAATGTTTTTGAAGGATGCAGTGATGGAACAGGGAACCAAGGAATTTCTGGAACTCCCATCACTGGGTGTAGTCAAAGCCCAGCTGCATTCAGCTCTGAGCTAGTGGATCTGGGTTTGAAGTTACCCTCCTTTGAGCAGGGATTTGGGCTAGAGATCCCCAAAGATTATTTTCAGTGTGGATTATTTTATGCCTGCAGGTTGGTGTGGGGCTTGTCTACACACTGGATTGAATCCAGTCCTCTGTGAGATATATTCTGACACACTTCTTCTCCCTTATATTTATTCTGCTCATGTATTTAAAAAAAAAGGATTTGTGTCTGCAGTCAGCCTTTGTTTTACTGGGCTGTCCAAGCCATGCCTTTTTTCCTGTTGGCATTCAGGCTTTATTGAATGCCCAGAAAGACAGAGATCCTTTCTTTGCATCAGTGTAACTTGGGTCTTTAAAGTGGGTATCAAGAGCTGTGCATAGAATCAGAGAATGATTTTAGTTGGAAGGGACCTTAAAGACCATCTCATTCCACCCCCTGCCATAGGCAAGGGGTCTTGAACACTTCCAGGGATGGGGCAGCCACAGCTTCCCTGGGCAACCTGTGCCAGGGCCTGCCCACCCTCACAGGGAAGAATTCCTACCCAATATCCCATCTATCCCTGCTGTCTGGCAGTGGGAAGCCATTCCCCCTTGTCCTGTCTCTTGTCCAAAGTCCCTCTCCAGCTCTCCTGGAGCCCCTTTGGGCACTGGAAGGGACTCTAAGGTCTCCTTGGAGCCTTCTCTTCCCCAGGCTGAACATTCCCAGCTCTCCAGAGCCTATGGGATCAGTCACTGCACACAGGCAGGGTGTGTTGAGCTTCTCATCCCCCAGCACCCCCAGGTCCTTCTCTCCAGGGCTGCTCTCAATCCATTCATCTCCCAGACTGGATTTGTGCCTGGAGTTGCTCCAAGCTGGGGGCAGGATCTTGTGCTTGATCTCGTTGAACTTCATGAGGTTCTCATGGTCCCACCTCTCCTACCTGTCCAGGTCCCTCTGGGTGTCCCATCCCTTCCCTGTGGTGTCTAACACAGTTCAGTGCCATCAGCACCTTGCTGAGGGTGCATCAATCCCACTGTCCATGACACCAACAAAGGTTAAACTGCACCAGTCCCAAAACTGACCCCTGAGGATGCCACTCATCACTGGGCTCCACGTGGGCATCGAGCCACGGGCCACAACTGTGAGTGTCACCATCCAGCCAGTTCCTCATCCACTGAGTGCTCCATCCACCAAATCCATATCTCTCCAGTTTAGAGATGGGACAGCGTCACATGCACCGGTCCAGGTAGATGGTGTCAGTCACTCTTTCCTCATCCACCAGCGCTGTCACCCTGTCAGACACCCTGTGTCACTCACAGTTTGCCCCTCAGAGAAGACAAGTTGGTTGTCACCCATCACCTCCTTATTTTCCTATTGCCCTAGCATAGTTTCTAGGAAGATCTACTTCATGATCTTGCTGGGCATAGAGGAGAGACTGATTGGCCTGTAGTGCCCCAGGTCTTCTTTTCCCTGTTTAAAAATGAGGATTGTTTCCCTTTTTCCAGTCTGTGGGAACTTCACCGGACTGCCACAACTTCTCAAATATGATGGAGAGTGACTTAGGCACTTCCTTCACCATCTCCTTTGGGATCCTTGGATGCATCTCATCAGGTGCCATGGACTTGTGCACCTTCAGGATCCTTAGATGGTCTCGAACCTGGTGATAACGTGGTTGAAACCTTACAGGACATGAAGGCAACGATCCTGCCTCAGCTGCAGGTATTTTGCCTGACACTTTTTGGGATTCTGCTTGCATTGCTTCACCACATTAGCTGCATCCTGCTAAGATGCCCTGAAACAACCATCTGTCTCCACTGAGAAGCTTCCTATCAACACAGTTTAAAGGCTCATAACTGCTGGAGGAAATGGGGTTGAACTTTAAATAAGCTCTGTCCTGCTCAGGGGCCTGTCGTCAGCAGTGGCTTGAAGCAGATGCCTGGTGCAAACTGGAACAACAGCACAAGCGTGTAAAATTCCCCTCCCAGACATTTTCCCAGTCTCCAGCCACTGTGCCTCCAGGAATTCCTGAGCGAGATGGGCTTTCTGTGTTCTCATGAGTCCCCTGTGGTTTTCTGTTTCATGAGCTTGTGCAGCCCTCCTTGGGAGATCCAGCATGTCCAGCATTATGAGCAATAACTGCAAACTTGCCAGGTCCTTGTTCTGGAGCCAGTTGTGTTTCTGATCTTTGCAATATCCTGCTGCAGTGGGTCTCACAGGTCAGACTCTGGGTGTTTTCTTTGGTGCTGTTTTAAGCCTAATGCCCCATACTTTAATTTGGAATCATACCATCCTCATACTGAAAGAATTAATCCGTAGGGACACTTGCTCTTCAACACCCTTCTTAATTTTTGAGATTTGTCATCTTCTCCTTTGTATTCTGTCCTGAGTCAGCAAGCTCTGATCTGATTAATCTCATACTTGTGATTGATGCATCAGCCTTCCATGACCCCTTTATTTTGAAAACTCCACTTAGGAAAACAAGTCTAAGTTAGTTTTGCCTCTTGTTGGTTTAGTGAGAATGGACACGGTCTGTCAGCCAGACCCACCTGCCTCTCCAATCATCCACCTGCCCTTCCACATCATCCACCTGCCTTTCTACTCCATAGCAGTCGTTTCCTAAGGTGGGAGTCTCGTTCTTCTTGTTGTCACAGAGCCTCACAGTCCATGTGTCTGCTATACCAGATGTGTGTATTGATGAACTTGCCTGATCTGACTTCAACTAAAGCAGTGGCAGCCACCAGAGTACATTTTTTTTTTTTTTGGCCTTCTCATCCCCAAATGATTTAGAATTGTGTTTTGTCAGAATCAGGGGGCTTGCTGCTCAGTGGGATGACTCTCAGTGTGCCTGGCAGGAATGGCTCTGGAGCAGTGCAGATCCCTGTGTGTGTCACCTGCAGGTTGTCCTGAATTTTGAGTGTGCACAGAGCTGGACTCACACTGCTCTTACAGGAGACACCTGAGGATCAAGTCATTCAGACCTTCACTATAGATTACACTCTTGTTACAGTGCAATTCAGTTGGCTAAGCTGTTTTTCATGACTTTTTTGTTTCAGTCTGGGACATATAGGCATCTGTAGAATGTTATTTCAATCTGGCATATCTAGAATTCAATCCTTCCACCCTTAGTGCACTTCTAAGCTTGTAGTTCCTTGGGGTAGGTTGCATCCACTGACCCAACTTTCAGATTTTTTAAGTCAGACTGTTTTTGAAGTCTCTTTCAACGACACAAGAGCTCTCCCAGCTCATAGAAGGTGCTTTTGCTGATTGTTTTGTGGAAGATTACAAATAGTTTACTAATAATTGTACAGCAAATGAAGCGTAGGGTAAGTTTAACAAGAGCTTTCCCTTGTTCATCTCCTCTTCTGTGTTTCACCCTCTTAGGTGTAGACCTGGACCTGTCAAGGAAAGAAGAGGAGCAGCAGATGCTCCAGGACGCCCGGCAGTGGCTGAACAGTGGGAGAATTGAGGATGTAAAGCAGCCTCGGACAGGAGCCACAGCCCTTCATGTTGCTGCAGCCAAGGGCTATTCTGAAGTCATGAGGTAGGACAGCTCCTCCCCAGGGCTGGTTTTTGTAAAGAGCACGTCTGGCTTTGCAGATGAGAGAAGTTTGTTCCATGCTGAGATTTTTCAGGCTGCTGTTTCTCGAAAGGCTGTGTGGTTTTGTGTGCCCAGCCACAGTGGTTCACCCAGAAATACACAGGGACTGGAGTTCATACCTTGAAGTGAGGAAAGCTTGTCAAAGAGCAAGGCATAGGAGGTCTCATTTTCACTATTAGAGCAATAGTTTTAGGACTAGCAAGTTAAGCAGCATTAGGGGATGAAAGTATAATTTTAGCCTACAAAGTGGCAATACACACTGCATGACAGTCACAAACACCTCAAAAGTTTACATGACCAGTTTAGTGGGAAAACCCAGAGTCCACCTCTGTCTCACTGTCCTCTGCCCCTTAGTGCTACTGCTCCTGCAGTGACAGAGGGATTCCAGCACCTGACAGTTCTGCTGCCTGGGCACTAACAAGACTATTATGAACATCAACTTGCCCAATTTAGGGTTTCCTGGCAATAAGGCATTAATATTTTTACAGGTAAGGTCAAATTAAGGTTTCCAAAATAGAACTTTCTTTGCTCTTTGTGGGTGGAACTGTCATAAATGTGGAGTCATAGAATCCCAGAATGGTTGGGTTGGAAGGAACCTTAAAGCTCATTTCATTCCACCCCCTGCCATGGGCAGGGACACCTTCCACTAGCCTGGGTTGCTCCAAGCCCCGTCCAACCTGGCCTTGAGCACTTCCAGGGATGGGGCAGCCACAGCTTCTCTGGGCAACCTGTGCCAGGGCCTCACAACCCTCACAGGGAAGAATTTTTACCTAATATACAATCTGATCCTGCCCTCTGGCAGTGGGAAGCCATTCTCCCTTGTTTTGTCACTACATGCTCTTGTAAATAGTCTTTCCAAGGTTACTCTACTGTCCGCATTAAAATCTGTTCTGGAAGGGTTCATCTGTCTTGATTCTCAGTTTCATAATTTTAAGTGACATGCATAAGAGCTCTTTCATCTCAAGCTCAAGCAGTTTTATTATTCTCCGTGTTTCTGACTTGTGTTCAATCATTAGAGCTTATAATTGAGTTATGAGCTGTCTGTGCCTGTACCATGCCTGAGAACAGGAATCTAACACAGCTCATGTGAACAGAAATGTAATATCTCCTTCATTTGAGGTGTTGGTCCCGTGGACTGTCAGAGGAGGGTTGTATATCCAGTGCTCCTTGATGAAGTTCACTGTGTGTGCAGCGTCACTTTGTTCTGGACAGCGACTCCTTGGCGTTAATTGTTTTAATGATAAACAGATCTCAGGGCAGGCTGACATTGTTTCTCTCTTGTGTGTGTTATGGCCATGCGGTGAGTCCAAATACAAATCTTCAATGGCTTAAACCAAAGGGGCTGACAGCCAGGAGCCAGCTCACTCTAAATGGGACATGGAATTTGTCTGTGACCTTGAGACTCTTAGCAGCTCTATTGCTCCCTCCTGCCAGCTGGAAAATCAACAGAAAAGTCAGCACCTAATTTAAAATTTCTTTCACAGAGAAGCCCACAGCTGCTTTACTGTCACTGTGTTTTATTTAGCACAGTAGCACATCGGTGTAAAAGCTACAGGAGTTTCCAAGCTGTTGATGCCATTCTGGGGTCGTGCTGGATTTGGCTCGTGCAGTGCAAAGGTGGCTCTGGATGGTGGAATTTCCCGTGATGGAAATTTTCACTGCCACAGAGGTGTGCACATGGCTCTGGACCCTCAGACTACACTGACCCCCTTGTGTTTGTTTTGGTGTTTAAATGTTTCAGCTCCAGATGCTGGGAAACACCAGCATTCTGGTCTGATGGAAAAGTGGGGGCTGGAAGGGGCACAGCGGTGAGTGCCTGGGAGTTCCCAGGCAGCTTCACTTGGGGTAGATTTACTTGAACTGTGCAAGTGTGAAAAAATGCATTTTGGGTTATTTAACATACGAATTTCACCCCTATCAATCACAGTAATGTCACTGGTGCTTGCCTGGCAGTCCTGCTGGTCTCCTTATGGACCATCCCACACTGTGGCCTTGTGCTCTGGTAGAAGAACCAAGCCCAGCCCCATTTCCCAGACATCCCTCTCCAGGCAGATGCTGTGCTTGGCTCTCTGTTGTGGGGATGCAGTTGCAGAGATGCTGTTTGTGTAATCAGTGCCTGAGTCAGTCCAGGTTCTCTCCTCCACTCGAGCAACAGTTCAGGCTGGGTCACCAATGCCAGATGAGAAATTAGGGTGTTCCCCAAATTTATGGCATGCTGGAAGGAAACATCAATTTGACGTGTTCCAGCAGGTTTTACATCAGTCACTTTTCATTTACTGCCCTTTTCCATCACAGTTTGGAGCACATGGAGTGGAATATTGCTTGGGGGAATAAAGTACAGAAGTTCTTGATGGTGAGCTGGGCTACTCTGTGCCCCACAGGGGAACTCTGCTCAGTCAGGAAGCCATTCTTGGATGAGCTGGGATCAGTAGTGCTTCTTTCCCCAGGCTTCTGATCCAGGCTGGGTTTAATCTGAATGTCCAGGACAATGATGGCTGGACTCCCCTCCACGCTGCCGCGCACTGGGGGGTGAAGGAAGCGTGTTCCATCCTGGCTGAGGCTCTGTGTGACATGGACATCAGGAACAAGCTGGTGAGTACAGGACTAATGCGGTGTATTTTGTAGCCAGATTAACCACAGCTTTATTGCCTGCTGCTTGATCGTGGAATCACAGGCTGATTTGGGTTGGGAAAGCCCTTAAAGCTCATCTCATTCCACCTCTGCCACGGGCAGGGACACCTTCTGTGATCTGTGGTCACTGTCACATGGGTTTCCCTGCTCTGGACTGAAAGGGAGTGTCCCTCCCCAAGAGGATATGATGCATGTTCACTGGTAAATAGTGCTTTTTTTTTGACTATTACCACTATGCCTTATCAGATACCCTCTTGTGTTCTCTCACTGCACCAGGGCCAGACGCCCTTCGACGTGGCTGATGAGGGACTCGTGGAGCATTTAGAAATGCTGCAGAAGAAACAGACTGTGGTGAGCTTCTGGAGATCATTTTCCACCTCTGCAATTACCTTTCCACACGCAGGTGTTCTCCAAAACATATGGTGCCAACAGATGCAGGAGAATGAGGCCCAGCTATTTTTTTTTTTGTTAGTTGTTTGCAATCTTTAATCACAGCAGTCTTTTTAATAGCTGGAAATCCAGATAACTGTATGACTGCAGCGAGAAGGTCAGTAGTGTACTGGCATGCAGAATTATGTGAACTGGTAAGGAATGTACAGTTCACCTTTGGGATTGTTATTATCCTGCAGTTTGCTGGCATCAAACCCTCTCTAGCATCGAACTGCTCTGTTCCTAATGAGTGATTTCCCAAGTCCACGTTGTGTTTGCATCCAAGGAAATACACTATCAGCTTTGAGAAAGAGTTCTGTTAAGCATGTCTGCCTCTTTTACAACAGGGAGGCTTTGGATTGAGGGAGAAGAAATTAAAAGCTTCATGGAATTCTGAAAAAATGGGACATTTCAAAACCGTATTAAATTGCCATTTCATGGTGCAGTGGAGATGTTGGAGGGGGTTATAAGCCACAAGTTGGCATAAAAAAAGGAGAGCAAAAATATACCTTGGCCAAAGTAAGGCCAGTTGTCAAGCCAGGAAGTTGGTTTTGGATTGGATTTTTTCCTATTTTATCAGATCTACTCAATTGTCTCATTTGGGTGCTTCCACAAAACAAGCCAAGCTTCTCTAAAAAGAATTAAAAATCTGTATTATTTAAAAGGTTGGATTCAGAAACAGACAGAATGAGAACAGTGCTGATAAACCCCGGGAAAGTATTTTGAGGAACTGACAATGTGGGTGGTTAGAACTCCAGCTCTGATCACAACACAGCTGCTGCAATCCTCAAATAGCAGCCTTAACATTCACAGGAACTTCTTAAAAATTAATCAGCTTCTCCCTAAATGAGGTGTTGATAAATACTATCAGGGTTGTATTTTGGATTCCCTCCTCTCCCACTACCCCAGGATTCTGCAGATAACTGCACTCCTTAAAAGAAAAGAAAAAGAAAGACAACAAGAAGAGTTTTTTTGTTGGGTGCTCACCCATTTTTAGGGCTGTTTTGCAGGGGCTACAACCCCTCTGTTCTCTATATAGCAGCACTATATAAAGGCTTTTTCCATTTATTCATTCAGTGTGGAACTGGGCAGAAGAATCCAGATTGTATCACACTTCTTTTTTTTTTTTTTTTTTTTTTTTTTTTTTTTTTTTTTTTTTTTTTTTTTTTTTTTTTTTTTTTTTTTTTTTTTTAGTGGATATGATTTTTTAATGGAAATGCCATTTTATCGTGTGCGTTTAACATGTGCCATTTTTATCACTTAAAAATGGAAAAACGCATATTTTTGAAGGATGAAAGAGGCAATTCCATGACATTGCTCTAAGTCATTATTTCACTTTGAAAATGGCTCTCAAATCAGATGTTTGTTTACTCTAAAGCTTGAGTCAGAACACTGTGCCCTCCTTGCTTAAGGATGTGCTGCTGTTACTGGAGAGCAGAGGGGATTTTTGTTTGCTGGAAGCAATAATTTGGTTTGGGTTTGGATTTTTTTTCCCCATCCCTATGAATGGAGCAGGCTGTTTCCTTCCTTAAATTGAGCCTCTTCCATCTCTTCTTCTGTCTCAGCTGTGTCTGGGCTTCTGGAAGGTACTAAAATGATTTTTGGGAACTATTTTGTCCTTTAATGGTGGCGAAATTACTTTTGCTACTCTCTGGGCAAAATGTTTCCATTGCTGTGGTGATCCCAGGTGTTCTTGTGCAATGACTTCACGCGTTTGGGAGATTTAAGAAGTGACCCATCATGACTTGAATGTTTTCCTCTGAGAACAAGACATTAATAGCTACAAAGGCAGCGAATTCTTGACTTTATCCAGCCTGATTTCATGGGCACACACACGTGTGGACAGACCTCCAGCACAATCACAGAATGGTTTGGGTTGGAAGGGACCTTGAAGTTCTTCTGGTTCCACCCCCTGCCATGGGCAGGGGCACCTTCCACTAGACCAGGTTGTTCCAAGTCCCATCCAGCCTGGCCTGGAACACTTCCAAGGATGGGGAGCCCAGAGCTCTCTGGGCAGCGGTCAGGGTTTGTCTCTGGGTCTGGGCAGGGACTGTTGCAGGTATCTCTGAAGGGTTCATGTTGCAGTGTGAGGACCTGCTGGGTGTGTAGCTGTGCCCTGACAGAGCTCGAGTCCAAGGCTGGCAGTGCCCTTGCAGATGTGCTGTTGTTGAATTGGCTCGTTAAACAAATCCCCTGTATTTTTGGTCCAGTGAGGCAGGGCTGACCTTGTGCTGTGCTGATTATTGGATTGTGCTGAGGCGGCTGGTTAACGAGTCTCTTCTCATTCTTTCTCCAATCTTCCTGGGCTTTTTGACAGTTGCGAAGTGAGAAGGAGACGAGGAATAAGCTGATTGAAGCTGACATGAACGGGAAGCCTCAAAGCAGACTCTTCACCAAGTAAGTCTGGTGAAAAGGAGCTGCCCAGGGAGTAATGAGAGAGCAGCTTCATCTGTCACAGCCAGCTGGCCTCAGCTGGGTCAAAACCAGTTCACTGCTGTTCATTTCATGGTTGTTTCAAGTTTGAGCTCTCTCAAATACAACTTTAGTTGTTTCTCAGCACACCCACTGAGTGGTGGAACAAGGGGTCGGTGCTTGGTTCTCCAGCTCCTGCTCTGGCTGAGGATCAGTTGGAGCTTTGAGCTGAGAGCTGCACCTTTTGTTGCACTGAGCCCTCCAGCTGCTGGGCCGGGTGACTCTAGGAAAAGAAGAGACCACATTGTTTGGGATGGAAAAATGCTTGCAGATTTAGGAAATGGGAGACTGGCAGTGGAATCCATGGCAAATGGGCCGTGCTGGGAAGTGCTGGGGTGTTGAATCTGTGGATGGATTTCGTCCTTTGCTTGTTCTATATGTAGTAAATCACGTCTGTGTGTTCCTGAGAAGTAGAACTCAGAAATAACTCAGTTGCCTGGGGTAGGCCTTAAAATTTCTATATTTTGCAGCAAAGAGAAGATTCTTTATGAGGAAGACATGCTGAAGTCCATGGAAATGGAGGAAGAGAACAAGGACTCGAGCAGTTCTAGTTCTGAAGAGGAGGAAGAAGCTGAAGATGAAGTTTCAGAATCGGATGCTGAAAAGGAGTCAGGTAAGACTTGGATTTAATAATTAGCATTCCAGTTTATATGTACAGAATATGGATAAGTCTGGAGCTCATGTGCTAAAATAGCTGATCCAAATGCTGACTCCCAGGTCAGCATAATTTTTCAAAACAAAAATGCTGCAGTTCCCATTCAATTTCTGCTTGAGATAACACATTGTTCATAGTTTGTTCTTAAACAGGAGGTTTTTTTTCTTTTTGGCCCAGTTCAAGATAAGCCTTTCAGGTATTGCAGGATGGTAGGAAAGCAAGTGAAGGTGTAGGAAAGCAATAACCTGTTGTGTTTGGATTACAGGTATGAAACAAAGGGCTGAAGCTGTTCTGGGTAATTATAGAGATGAGGAACTTTTTTTTGGTCCTGACTGTGATGTATAATAGTTGCAAAACATAGTGGAAAATAAAGATTAAGTGCATAGTCAGATTAACCTTAACATTATAGCATACTGCTGGCATCTTACTCCCATTCCTTTTCCATAGTTTCCATGGCTTCCTTAATTACTTTAAACAGTGTTTATGTGCAGCACAGAAAGTTTAAATAAAGATACTTAATTTTACAATAAGCTGAGACTTATTGTACTTAATATTCTGCAAACACAGATGGATCTTGGTCTGTGATGTGTTTAATGGTTAAATTACTTTTAACATCAGCTTGCTTGGCCTATATCTCAATATCCTAATAAATAAGTCCTTGCAGAGAAGTGGCAGCTTAAAGTTTTGTCCTGCTTCTGTGCCAGTGAAATTGTCACCTGTGTCATTAATGCTGCTATGGCAGGGTGAGAGGGGTGGATAATCCTGGCTGCTCCTCCCAGAGCTGGTGTTACACCATGACAGTAGCACATGGAAATAATCTTTTGGCTTTTAAATCAAGCAGATCTAGCTGAGAAGTCAGTGGTAGAAACAGACACACAGTCACATATTGTTTGCTCCATAAATAAGGGATTTTCCCTGATTATTTATATATATATATATGATTTTTTAATATATATATTTATTTCTACATATATAAATTATACCTGTGTAAATTCTAGCTGTGTAGTTGTGTGCCAAACCTTGTAATCCTTTTAAAAATGGTGAGAGTTTGACTAAAACACCTGAAATGTAGGGACCCCTGTGAGACCTGGAGCTGTGTGGGGTTTAACTGAGTCAGGAACAGCCCAAGATCCCTCAGCAAGGAAAGATCCACAGCACTCACCATTAAATTTTGTGTAAAGCCAGAACTGCTCTTTTTATTGCATTAATTCACTGAGCAAAGCACATTATAGGAATCTGTGTCAAACCACTCAAGCCAATACAAATGGAAGACAAAAAGCACTCAAGTAATGATTAAGCTTCAGGCTTTGTTACCTGTGCTCTACTTTCCTGGAGAGATTAATGGCTCCTTTGAGAAAGTTCCATCAGAATTCAAACCCCACTTTGTAAACTTCTCAAAGCTCTGATAGAGTGAACGTGGATTTGCCCAGCTGGATGGAGACACAGTTGTCAGTTGTGGCTTTTGATAAGGAGAATTATAAATGTCGGTGTGTTACTAGTTTCAGGGACAGACAGCTGTGTGCTGGGCTGATCCCACAGCGGGGGCAGCAGAGGAGGGGGGAATTCTGCCCCTCTGCCCCCTCAGGTGAGACCCCACCTGCAGAGCTGCCTCCAGCTCTGGGGACCCAGCAGAGGAAGGACATGGAGCTGCTGGAGCAAGTCCAGAGGAGGCACCAGGATGATCAGAGGGATGGAGCAGCCTTGCTCTGAGGAAAGGCTGAGAGAGCTGGGATTGTTGAGTATGGAGAAGAGAACTCTGGGGACACCTAATTGCTGCTTTCCAGGACCTGAAGGGAACTTAGAGGAAAGATGGAGACTATTTACAGGGACCTGGAGTGAATTTTCAGAGACTGTGGGAGGAAGAAATTGGATGAGGGAAGCAGTGGAATTGCTGGAAGGCTTCAGAGTAGCATTTCTGACAATCTGTAAGAAATTTGTGTTCTTCAAACAAAGGGCATTAATGCCACTTTATTCATCATGAGGACAATTAATTTGGAATTGGGTTGTATATAAAACAAGAGAAAGATCAGGATAAAATTCTATGGTCATTATCTGTGCTGGGAACTATTACAATATGTAATTATTTGGAATTAAAGCAGGCCAGGGAAGCTTTCAGTGTTGTTTTGTTTAAAAACCAACCAACCAAAAACTCTAAATCAAAAACCCTTAAGGGAAAGGAAAACTTAATTCTTTAAGTTTCTTTAACTCTCACCGAATTTTGGGGGGGAGATTGAGCTAATCCTTGACAGTTTCCCTTGATTGGAATTTGTAATGTTTATTGCTGAAATGTCAGTAAAATAAAGGATGGGACCCTGCCCCAAAGGCAGTGCTGCCACCTCCTGCTGCCAGCACAGGGTCTTTCAGCCTGTCCTGCTTCTGCAGTCAACTCCCTTCAGTCCCACTGCTCATACTTAGAGCTCTTCCCAGCCTGTCATTACCACTTAAGCCTCTGCCCTTCTGATTAGGCTTGACCTTAAAAGAGATCTCTGCGCTATAAACTTCCAGAGCAGGCTCCCAGCACCCAGCCTGGTGCAGCCTCCCCTTGCTGCAGTGCCCTCTGGTTTACAGGCCTCAGGCTCAAGAAATCAGCACATGCAGAGCGTTATTCCTTGTCCGTGGGCATTTCCATGCGGATGCCAAGTGTGCCAAGCCAGGCCTGAGAGGAGGAATGGGTGATGTGTGACAGTGCACCTGAGTGTTTGGCTCCAGAACTGGAATCCTCTTCTGAGATGACTTGGATGGAAGTTCTGAGACAATATAGAAAGGGAAAGTGGCTGAGATTTGTCTCCCACACACCCGAAGGAGTGGCTGGAGCTGTGTCAGGGGAGGGTCAGGTTGGATATCAGGAAAAGGTTCTTCCCCCAGAGGGTGGTTGGCACTGAACAGGCTCCCCAGGGCAGTGGGCACAGCCCCAAGGCTGCCAGAGCTCCAGGAGGGTTTGGACAACACTCTCAGGGACAGGGTGGGATTGTTGGGGTGTCTGTGCAGGGCCAGGAGTTGGACTCAGTGATCCTTGTGGGTCCCTTCCTGCTCAGATTCCATGATTCTGTCTTTGCCACTTCAATTCAGGCTCTCTCGGTCCTGCTCACTGCCTGTTATTTTTAAATGTTTTTCTTGGCTCTTTTCTGTTTTCCATGTCCTTTCAATCCTTTTTTTTCCCTAGGACTGAGAACATTTGTTTCAGAAAGATTGCTCTTCATGCTCCAAGGTGCTGTCCTCCCAGATGCTCCACCTCAAACTGCTCCAAGTGTGGAACAGCAGATCTTTATTCCCTGCATATACCTCATTTGCTAAGACTGTTTGGGTGCTAGTGCTTAAATTACTTTATTTTTTTCCAAACCATGTTTGTGTGAGCACTCAGAGCTCTCAGGAAAACATTTTGTTTGGTGTAGGCATATCATTTCTCAGGCACATTTCATGTACCTGGGTTTTTGGTAAACAGTCTATCTGCCAGCCCTTTGCACTCCTGTCAACTGAACCTATTGCCTGAGACACACTTTCTGCTTCCTCTCCCACTGGTAATGTCTGGATGTTCTTCTGTCCAGCTCGGTGCACAGATACAAAAATAAATGTAATGCTGAACAGCTGCACTTGTCTGACCAGCAGGGAGATAGGGGTTGCTTAGCTTGCTTGGAGCCCTGGTAAGGGGTTTTGTTGGGCAGCAGTCCTGGCTTCCTGTAGAAAGATGGATTTTGGTGCAGAAGACCAGAAATTCTGCCTGGCAGCACAAGCAACTGCAGAGAGCCATGCAGTGAAACCCACACCAGGCTCTTGGGGCCGTGGGCTGTAACACACCCATGTGCTCCAGCAGGAACAGCACGTGATGCTTTTCATCCCAGGTTTTGCAAGGGAAAAACATTCCCAGATAGGGACCAAAACTGTGAAAAGCAAAGAGTATGTTTGTCCTCCTTTCTGCTAAGATTTTGCTTGTCTGTGGGGATCAAATTCTAAAGCTTTGCCTGCCAAGTGTATCCATCCTGTTCTTTAGGAAGTGGAAAGCTCCTTGCAGAAAGCCTGGCTTAGCCTTGTCATCTGAGGGGGCTGAGGTCACACAGCACTGAGCTGGAGTGCAGGGCACACTCTGTGTAGAGATGGGCCTTGGAAGTGCAACACTGAAACGTTTGGTTTCTCTTCTTGTTTAAATTTGTAGAGAGGAAGGAAGAGCCCTTTGCCAACCACTCCAGCCGTGAATCCAGGCCCAGCATCACTGAGCAAATGCCACCACCCGAGCCCAACTCCTTCACTGCGTCTGCCAGAAGAGTAAGTCAATTTGGAATCAGTGGGGACTCAGTAGTGCTTGCAAGCAGGAGGTTTTGCTGGAAGATGGATGCTCTGAAACCAATTTTCAGAGCACTTTAAGACTTGAATTTAGGAAAGCCTGATCTTAGGCAAGCCTGTTAAAGCTCTGTGTTAACTCCAGTGTAGGACTGGCTCCAAGGAGGGTGTTGGTTCCATGAGGTTCCTCTTGAATCTCTGACCCTCCAAAGCAAATTGTCCTCTTCACAAGAAACCCAGCCCACAGCATGTGCTCTGTGTGCCATCAGTTCTGAGGTGGCTGATGCCAATCTCTTCCCAGGAGACCTTTCATCAGAACTCATTCCTGCTGGTGTATCAGTGGTGAATTTGGCAGTGTCATCACAGGTGCCCCAGACATCCCAAACCCTGTTGACTCAGTGATGTTCCAGCCCAGCAAGCAGAGGTTTGCCCTTGACAGGCCAGCTGGACTATGAGAACTTTGAAAGGTGAAGCAGTTACTGCAATCTTACCTGACTCCTCCAGCTCTCACATCACTCAGCTAGATGGCACCAGGAGACCCTGTTCTGCCCAGCACTGGTGTCCTCTGCTGCTGGTTTCTTTTAGCACCAGGCTGTGGAGAACATCCACGCAGGCACCTGGCCCCAGGCTGAAGCACTGGGTGCATGTCAGAGGGAAATGTTCCTTGCTTAGTCACAGTTTTGTATTTTTCACATCCTGCTCAGCATAATTTCTCATCCAGATCAAATGAAAGAGAGCTCCTCTGGGCATTGTTCAACTCAGGCTGCCTTAGCAGGGGAACTGTCAGAGGTAGGAGGGTACTGGGAAGTAGGAGCACTTCAGTTAACCTTTTCCCAGCTGCAGAGGTTTGGTCTCATTCCTTTGAGATGTTTAATCCAGAATAAGGCTGTTAGGGTATGGAAGTTGGCCTGTGTGGAGAGCAGTTATTGATTTGACCTCAGTCACTTAAAATCAGTTACTTTATCTTCTCTTACCTGTTTGATTTTTCTGTGACTAGCTCTGCTAGTTCTTGTTGCCTTTCTCTGAATCTCTTCCCTTCTTGTCTGATGCTGAGCTGTGCATGAGACCAAAGATGTGATTGTACCCTGCAGGATCACAGAGCTCTAATGGTGCTGTGTTGTGTGTTCTCTACTTTTCCAATAATTTCTATTAATTTGTTTGCTTTAAATCTCTCTGGTTCCATGTCCTTCGTAAACCCATCCTGAAGTAGCAGAGCAACTCTTTTCCATGCTAAACAGTCCAGGTTTCCTCAGTCTCTCCCTTAGTTTGTCACTGGCTCCAGCTCTGTGATGATCTTGGTGGATTCTCCTGGACTGCCTCCAGTTCAACTGGTGTGAGGGGTTTATTTACAGCCAGTCCCAAAAGACTTGAATACTTGTTCTTGGTTCCTGCCTTTACTGAATAATTCCCCCTTCCTAAAAGGGCGCTAATAAAAGCTTCATTGTTCCTTGTGTTCTTTCCTCAAAGATGGAGGAGGGCATTGTGCAGGCCAAGAGCTGCACAATGACACAAGATTCCTTTCACTGTGTGTCCTCGGGGATGAGGCTCTACATCAGTTTCCATCCCTGTGAGCTCACCTTGAGCTCTGTCCTGTCATTAAAGCAAAGCAGGAAATCAAAGTCACTCCATCCTACAAGTGTAGCCCAGCTAAAACTGGGACTTGTTGAAACACTTTCCGAAGTTAGAGCGTGCCTTGCAGTGCTCTCACTTCTTCCCCATGTCCGTGTTTCTCCTCTGCAGTTCAGTTGGCTCAGCAAGTCAGAGGAGCAGAAGGATGAGTCGCCGTCGTCGTGGCGGCTGGGGCTGAGGAAGACGGGCAGCCACAACATGTTAAGTGAAGTCGCTGCCACTCGTGAGGCACAGAGAGACAAGGCTGCTTCTATCTATCGTTCCTCCTCCAGTCCTCGGATATCTGCACTGTTAGACAACAAGGACAAGGTTTGGATTTCAGCAGGGGTGCCTTAGTGCAGCCCCCTTCACCTCACGTGTTTAGGACCCTTTTCATTTGAGTTATTGCTGGGTTTTGTATCTATAACAAAGTTGGGTCTCTTTTGTTCTTTGTTTCTTTTCCTTTGCAAATTATTCCTCTCCTATCAGTTGTTCCTCCAGAACTGGAATTTACTGCCCCTTTGACCTAATTAATGCTCAGTTTGGACTGGGCTGCATCTGACCAGGGGCTGCTAATCTGACATGGCCCCTTCCTTACCAGAAAATACCGAATCCAGACAGTAGCACACACCTGCAGTGGAAATTCTCCTTCCCTGTCATCTACAGGGATTCCTCCTGTATCCACCACCTGTATTTGTGACTCCCACCCCACATATTCATTAACTGTAACTACCCCATGGGTAGATGCCACATCCCTGGCAGTGTCCAAGGCCAGGTTGGATGGGACTTGGAGAAACTTGGTCTCATGGAAGGTGTCCCTGCCCATGGCAGGGCATTGGACTAGATGACCTCCAGAAATCCCTTCCAACCCAAGCCATTCTCCAATTCTATGATTTATAAGCAATTCTGTAAGTTTAAAGATGCTTTTATTCACTAGCATGTTCCTCAGGAAATTACTTTCAGAACTGTGCTGTGGATCTGTTGCCCAAGAAAATGCCTTAAACCGGCTGTCCTTAGATAGGAGAATGCTTGCTTAGTTGAAAAAATCTGAACATGGATTTAATTGTTGCTAAACATGCTGGAAGGGTGAGAGATGTGCAGCTGAAGTTCCTGTTTTGCTTCACCAGGACAAAGACAACAAGAGCTATCTTGCCACCATAGCCCCAAGAAGACTGAGCAGTACGAGCGATATAGAAGAAAAAGAAAACAGGTGAGACTGTCTGAATTTTAATGCTCAGCTTCCATCCTGTCAGCAGTTCCATTTTTCTGTAGCCATGCTCCATGAATTTTCTTGGCAGTCCCAAGGACACAGGAATTCACAACATCAAGAACCAGCTCTGGTCTATAAAGCCCTGCAATTGGAAAAAGAAAACAATTGCAGGCTGATGGGGGAATGGATTTGTGCTGCACTGCAAGCTCCAGGTCCTGTCCAGGACCAGAGGGGAGCAGAACACACCGCCAGAGGGAAAGAGCCCTGATTTCAGATAAGCAGGATAAATCTGCTAGGATTTTATTGATAACTTGTCCAGTAGTTTGAGATATTGCAAATGTTTTGTATGTTGTTTTCTGCTGCGTGGTTTAGTGGTGGACCTGGTGGTGCTGTGTTAATGGTTGGACTCAGTGATCTTAGAGGGCTTTTCCAACTTTGGTGATTTTATGAAAGGATTTGCTGGGCTGGATTGCTTTTGTCCTTGCCTGGATACTTGGGAGAATAAAAACTTCCCAGAAGTCTGGGAAGTTTTGCCCATTTATACCGTATTGTTTGATACAAGATGGCAGAGGAAATATCAAATGCCACTATTTAATATGTTAAATTAATTTTATGGATTTTCTAAATTTCATTTGCAAGTTTTCTGACTAAAAAGGATTTTGTCCCTCTTTATGCGAAGCATTACATCACCTGTGGTTCTGAAGGGATCTGGCAATAACAGGATCAGTAAGACCAGAACAAGAGTTTCTCTGAGCTATGTCACCTGTGAGCATCAATGCATGTGGGTGTAAGGCAAGGATTTGTGCTGTGGAACTGTAAAGGAGCCAAAAGTAGACTCCGAAGGTTTGTGTAACCAAGCCCTGTGCTCTGTCCTGCATTAGGGAATCAGCTGTGAACCTGGTGAGGAGCGGCTCCTACACCCGGCAGCCGTGGAGGGACGAGGCAAAGGGAAACGAAGCTCCCCATTCTGGAGCACCCACCACCTATGTATCCACCTACTTGAAAAGGTACATCCAGTTCTGTCTCACGTGGGTTCCCAGGCAGTCAGTTCCACTCTAAACATGCCTCCCAAACCTCAGCCTCCTGCTTGCTGCCTGCTGCATCTTGTAACTGGCCTTGGGACCCTCCTCTGCTGAGAGCAGAAAGGAAAAGTTGAGGTTTTCTGGCATTTGTCATGCTAAGTGGTATTTTTAAAGGCTGTAATTTTTGCTGACTTCTAAATTGCTGAACTGAATTTAAATACTCTTGTTCGCATGCAAAGTGTTTTCTCCGTTTAATGCTGTTATGGTTAGAATATAAAATCAAAATTGATCATAAAAAAAGATTAAAGTAATCAGAATCTGAAAGCATTGCTCAAATAGCTACTGGCAGGTAAGTTGTAGCTTATCTCCTCTTATTTTGGTTTATATTAGTCCACGTTTATGGCATCATTATAAGAAAGTGGCAGTGATCCTGTGCTTGGCACAACACTTGTTAGGAGTAAGACTGATGCTTCCAACCACTGTCTTGTGGCAGCAAAGAAGCAGTTTGTGCACAGTGTGTGAGAAGTTGTAGAGGCTGATTGTTGGTGAAGGGGCCAGGCAGAGGCAGGAAGGCAATTCCAGGCAGAACTCCTGTAACTGCAGAGTCCTGTTCACCTTTGGGAGGCAGAGCCTCAGTGTCCTTGAGGTACCAGCTGACAGCTCTCTCTGAGCGAGCTGAAGGAATGCCCTGCTCTGGTGAGGCAAATATTGCACTGCTGGGTTTTCACCTCAGTTGTGAGCAGGAGGACCAGCCCTTCATGCAGGTACATGCCACTCCTCACATTTATTTCAGGTAATTCTGGAGACCATCAAACCAGCCTGTGATAAACATGTCACGCTGCAAAGCTGTTGGGTCTCTGCTGAAGGAAAACAGTTCAAGGTTTTAGGTTGAGTTTCACTAAATTCTAGACCCTGAACTAAATATCTGTCCTGTAGATGGAACAATTGCTTGAGAGACTTGGGAAGAGGTGATTTACTGAGTTTCAGTACTTTAAGGTGGCAGAGGTGAGTGGTGCTCGAGGGGGTGTGTGGCCAATTGCTGAGCACACAGGCCCCTTGCCACAGAGGGTGAAGCAGCCCCTTCCAGCAGAAGCCTTCTGCTTTGCTGATCCATTGCACTGATTTCACAGCTATCCTGGGACGTGGTGACAGCCCAGCCTCCACACCTTGTCTCTCTCCAAAGCCAGCCTGACAGACCGCAGCTGATTCCCTTGGAAAGCCTTTTCCCCTTGCAGCTGGCAGGTCTTGCTGCTCCCTGCTCTGAGGGCCAGCCCAGTCACCCACGGGCTGCCCACTGCAGTCTGACAAACATTGCCTGTTTATCCCAGCTAATCCAGCAGCACATTCAGTGTTACCCTCACACAGTGGTACTGTATTTCCTTGGTTAAACTGAACAGACAGTGGGGAAGGTTTAAGCTGCCGTGGGCTGTCACTAATACCGAGTTCCTGTCACAAAGGTTGAATTCTGGCCTTTTGTAGGAGGGTGTTGGTTTACAAGCAGTTACAGAGGAGAACTTTGTCAAGTAGGAATAAATGTGCTTTTGAAGGAGAGATCAATGGTTTTGCATTTTGTATGCATACAATAGCATCATGATTAATTTGACCTTTATCTCATGTGGTTTTCTGTAGGAGAGCACAGAGAAATTAAATATAATCATATTGAACCTCTGACTTCTCCAGCCTTGTGCATCAGCCCGTAAGATGAGGAAGGGAACCCAGTTGCCTGTTAAACATAAGCTTTTTATCATTTTCAAGTATTAACAAAACTCTGAACACAACTCCAAAAGATAAAAGCTCATTCTGAGAGAGAAAGAATTCAAGGGAATATGACATGCATGGATGTCACTGAGAGGATGACTCCGTACGCCTGCAGTTCCCCTCCACCTCAGCATTTCAGTGATCTGCATAAAGATCACAGACTGGTTTGGGTTGGAAGGGATCTCATCCCACCCCCTGCTATGGGTAGGGACACTTTCCACTAGCCCAGGTTGCTCCAAGCCCCGTCCAACCTGGCCTTGGACACTTCCAGGGATCCAGGGGCAGCCACAGCTTCTCTGGGCAACCTGTGCCAGGGCCTGTCCACCCTCCCAGGGAAGAATTCCTTCCCAATATCCCATCTAACCCTAGTTATGTTCTATAACCCCCAAACACAGAGTGAACAACACAACAGATCATCTTAAGATGTGGAAAAGGGCGGGGGGGTTGTACAAAAGAGAACAAAATAACTTGCAGCAGTGCTGCAAATGTTCTTCAGCTTTAGCTGAAGCAGATATTGAAGCTCTCTCTGTGATGGTACTGGCACTTCTCCTGCTTTCTCTATGGTTGCACAGTACCCTGCTCTGCCAGCCTGGTCTCCATTTATTGCCTCCGAACATCCAGGTCACTTTGCCTGTGTATTAAAGGGTTTGGAAGAAAACTGGCATAGCAGGTTGGATTAATTTAGCATCCTGCCTCCCAGGAAGGGCTCACACACCAGAACGAAATCCTTTATCCACACAGTTAGTTTCTCCTTCATCTCACATTTATGCAAATGCCTCCTTTCTGGTTCTGTTCACATAAAAACCATCGCAGCAAGTCAGGCCAACGGTCCCTGCAGCCCAGACTCTGTTTCTGACACCAACTGGTTTTGAAGGACAAGTTGCAAAAGCCAGGAAAGCTTCAGAGCAATCTTCCATCTCCCACGCTCTCCTTGCTTCCAGCAATCAGGAATTTAGGAGCCAGGGGTTACATTTAACCATTGTTCTTAATGGCCAGTGGCCAACTTTCATACCCAAACCCTAGTTTGATCTCTGCAATACCCCATGGCAGTGTGTTTAAAAAAAAGTGGTTATGTGCTTTGTGCAAACCTTTTTTATTAGCACATGTGGAAGCTTTTTAAGGGTTTGAAGGGTTTTAAGTTAAGGTTTTTAACGCCTTAGCTGTTCTCAGAAGTATTTCTTTTTATTGCATTGAAATGTTGTTTTGCATTTCATTGCTCATTCCTGGATGGTTCTGTTGTGGTGATAATGTTAGAGAACAAGGAGCAGTGTGTCAGTGCCTTTTTCTATTTTTAATGTTGAATTCTTCAGCGTAAATTCATAATCCTCCCTTTCACAGATTCCTGTGGACACAGCTGTTAATTAACAGGATTTCCTGGCTAACCTTTTTATTGCAGTTTTCTGGGCCTGTTCAGACCAAATGCAAACAGTGGAGGAAATGCCTTGGAGTGCTCCTCACGCTGTGGAGTGCCACCCATGCACAGGGCCAGGCTGGGAGGTGGATTCCCACGGAGCTGGCAGTGCCGTGGCTCCCCTGGGAGCAGCAGTGTGTGCCTGGTGCCCCAGCACCACATTTCTCTGGCCGTGTGCGTGTCGGAGCTGGCACAACACCCCCATCGGGCCCTATTCCTGCATTCCTCCTTCCCCTCTCATCCTCTGCATCTCTGCTCTCCCAGGCCCCTGGTTCTGCTTCCGTGCTCCTCACCCGTTACCTTTCCCTTCTGGAAGACAATCCTTGTCAGGGCTTAACTTGATAACCCTCCTGCGTCCTCCCTCTCTCTCCAAGTTCCTGCTCTCTCTTGCAGCCGCACCTCACGCCCCAGCCTCTGCCTTGGGCTCTCTCAGGATGGTGCCACATCAACCCTGCTGCCCCCAGGGTTTGCCACCAGCGTTCCCCCTGCCCATCCTCTCGTTCCTTCCCCTGGCACATTCTCCCCTGCCATCATCTCCTCAGAACACTCATCTGTGTGACTCCACAGCCTCTTGCTCCACACACCCACCCCAGCCAGGCTTCCTTCCCTGCTCCCACCCTCCACCCAGCCCATCTCCAGGGCTTGGCCTTTCCCTCCTCTGGAGCAGAGAGCCAAGAAGGGAGGAGGCACTTGCTTCCAACAGGACTTCCTGCTCTCCTGAGCTCCAGGCAGGGGCCAGCATTCCAGAGGAAGCTTTGTTTAGGGTCCGGTGGAGGTTGCTACCTGGTGACAATAACTTACTTGTTCCTGTGTGATGTGGATGTGGCAGGCAGCCATCAACTCAGGAGCCCAAGTGGGAGATTCCTCCCTGTGGAGGCCTTCCAGGATGCCCCGTTGTCCCTTTTGGCTCCCATGGGACCAGCTGCTTGTGCTGAGCTGGCTTGGGGCCTTGGCATGTAAAACTGGTTTGTAAGTTGGGTCCCTGAGCAAACTGGGCCAGGTCCTTCCTCCAGCCTCCCATCCTTGGCTGTGATCCTGCCCCTTCCCAGTGTTATTTCAGCCAGGGGCTGCTCCCTCTGACTCTTACTCTAGAGTTGACTTCCAGTTTCACTCCATCGTTCCTGGCCTTCCTAAACCTGCAGCTCTGTCCCAGCCTGCTGCTTTCCTCTAGGTCACCTTTTATTCCTGGTGCAGCCACTTTCCTCCCAGTGCCCTGCCATGGGAGCCCTTTGGCTGCAGGAAGTCCGAGCCAGCCTTCCAACCTTCCTAGCCTTTGATCCTGTGGACAGCCCAGTCTGACCAGTAGCAACCAGGCATTCCAGCTGCTGGGAAAGGTGTGGCAGGGCCCTGGATCCTGCTGGGTTTCTGTGTGCAGGCTGTGAGCAGCCTGTGTGCAGGGCTCTGGCACGTGCAAGGAGATTTTACCAGATTTTGTCAAGTCTGTTTTCAGAGATGTGCAGCTTCTCCCTCTAGAGTGGATTTTCTCTCCCATTAGTGTGGATTTTATCTCCCACTTAGGCTGGATTTTCTTTGAAAAAGCAAAATGGTCCATCCTTATATCAGAGCTCTTCTCCTTTCCTCCTATCTCTTCTCCAATGTATGAGCACTTAAACACTTGCAGATTTTTAGTGAGAATGGTTTTCAGGGTTTGTTTTAAACTGCCAAAATATGTATTTTCCTTGCTCATTCTTGAATATTTTTGGACAGTTGTGCTAACTGTTTTCCAGAAATACAGAGTTTGTGCCAAACATGCCTTAAAGAAAACTGAAGCCTGAACTGATCATCTTTGCCAAAGCTTTAAGCCACTGCAAACAAAACTGGAAGTCCTGGACATCCTTAGGGTGTGATGCAGCCAGACCTGCTTATGTCACTCTCTCCTTCCCTGCTTTAAGCATCCTCATCCTCGCTCCTTGTTCCCACCTTTCCCCAGTGCGCAGGGGTGCTCCACGTGCCCTGCTTTCACTGCAGCAGGGCTTTTCCCTTCCCTGATCCTCCCTGATTTACTCCCACGCCTTTATTCTCTCGCTGAAACTGAGCTGGGCTTAGCTAAGCTGGGCTCTGCTGGCACAACCTGCGGCAGCTCTGACGGCCTCCCATCTCCTTGCACACGTTTTGCTACGATGTGGTAGCTGCTCCCCGCCCAGCCGCGAGCCCAGCCGTGGGATGTGCTGTTGAATGTTTACTGTGCTCTGAAGGACGTGATTTTGTGATGTTTTACAGTGCTTCATTTGGTAGAAGTAGTGACCTGGGCAGTCCCTACATTTCAGCCAGTCGCAGTCCATCTCTAGCTACCTCACCCACTGCCATTGGCTCATCTACCTCCCCGGGCTCCCCGTGGCAACCTGTCTCTTCCTGTCCCACATCTCTCGGTGTGAACACTCCTGCATCAGCCCGCCACTACACCAGGTAACAGCTCCCGGCGGAGACAGCGCTGCCGAAAGTCAGCATAATGGGTTGGAAGGTCTGAGTTCTGGAGTGGAGCGTGGATTGGAGTTGTGCCTCTGCCCGGGAAGGGCCGATAAGCAATCCCAGAATGATAAGCAGTCCCAAAATGGTGATGTTGGGCAGTTCCAGCAGTGGGTATGCACCGGCAGGCTGGGAATAGCGGGGGTGTGACTGTAGCTCCCTGGAGTGGTCCCTCTTGTCCCTTGACTCAGCCCGTGCTCAGGCTGCCCTCAGGTGCTCGGTGTACAAGTTCTTGGAGTTCCTTCCTTCTGCTTATTCACCAGGTACATTTTTCTAATCATTTTTGCTACAAACAGGGAAGTGAAGACTATTAATTCCTCCTACTTATTCTCCTCCAAGTTTTGTAAAACGCATTTTACTGTGGCTGTTCTCCACGAACACGAGAGTGCAGAGCAAGGAGGATGATCCGTCCGCGCTCCCTCGAGGAGCCTGGGCTTGGTCAGCGCTTGAGTTCACTTGCTTTGCTTTCCGTTATGTCTTCTCTATTTCAGAGCCCCTTTCAGGCAACAAACTGATTCTGCTGTAGAGAAAAGCCCAGAGGGCAGCTGTGTTACCCCTCTAGGTGTAATCACAAACCGGGCTGTGCTCGGCGCTGCCAACGGCACCGCGAACGCCGGGGCCGCCTCCGCCCCGGGGAAGGATCTCTCTGCTGAGGAGGCCAGGGAGCGCAGAAGGTCAGTGAGCAGTGGGCTCTGGTGGTCCACTCTGTGGGCAGCTCTCACGTGGTGGTGATGGTGGGGGTGTAGGGACTGGGTTTTAGGTGCTCCATGGAGTTTCCGGGCTGCTGCCCCTGGCTCTGTCTGAAGATTTTGAACTGAGTCATCTCTGGCTTGTAGGTTAAATTTAGTCTCGTAATTTTCTGCTTGTCTCTTCAGCATCTGAGCCTTTGTCTTCAGTACTAACCTCAGCTCCTAATCTCAGCCCCTCCAGCCTGTGGGTATTCAGGGACAGGCAGCAGAGCAGCCATTCACAGCAGGTTCTGTAAAATTAATCCCATCCTAAAAAGAGTGTTGGACTGAGACTCATTCAGATAATATCTGTCCCTCTGATTCTGCTCAGCTGGGTTTGCTTATGCCCTGATGGAGACATCTGCACTGTACAGGACCCCCAGATTCCCTACTGCAGTTAGTGGGGAAAACAAACCTTCCTGGGTTGTGTAGGTGTGTGACACAGGAGGAGATGGACTCCAGCAGCAGGCACAGCTTTGATTGACTGTAAAGGCCAGAGGTGGGAGTCTGCCATGTGCAACCGAGGCCATTCCAGCAGTAGCAGCCTTGGGAATGACTCTGGATCTAACTGGTGATATCCCTTTCTTATCACATGATGTTATTTTAAGACTGGGGAAATGCAAACCTGGGGAGCCAGAGCTCTTTTCAAAGGAACTTTATCCTGTGCGCTAAGTACAGAATATCAAATGATCCGTGTTTCTTCCTGCAAGCAGGATAACTTTTCCAAAATCTGTCTCTCCTGATGGCATCAACAAAAGCAAATGGTAATAAATAAAATGCAGTGATGAACTGTGTGTTTCTAATCAGCAACCAGTTCACGCAGAGTGTATAGTGATTATATTCTTCCAGACTAAAATAGTGATTTATTGAAATGCAGCCCTTCCTGAGTAGAGATAGTGCTCTGACACATTTTAAATGGCCTGAGGCCAAGGGATGGGAAGAGCAATAATGAGAAATTATCAGCTTAGAAAGCTGAAGGTGGTGGGGCTGAGCTGCAGTGTCCCAGGGAGGGTGGGCTGCTCCATCCACTTCACCTGCAGCACAACCAAGCAAGGTGGGCGGTGCTGCTGGAAAATACTCAAACTTTTAATGCTGTTTGGGCTTTTTTTTTCATTCCAGAGCTAGCACAGGGAGTGCTTAGAAGGTATGACAAGCATTCTGGAGGAGCCACATTCATCAGCTCTGTGTGCAGGGCCAGTTTGTAGGAACTAGTGCAGGGTATCTTTGGTGGGAGAACACTGGGGTTAACCCTGGCAGTGCCTCTTTAACAGCCTGCTGCTGTTACTTTGCTGGAGGTCACTTGGCTTGGGGTCACTTGCAATTGAATTGAGATGAGCTGCCAAAAGATACTGCCAGTGCCCAGGGAGGTTGTGCAAGAGGACAGAGTGAGTATTGTGCTTTCAGTTCACACTTCGGACCTTTCATAACAGTCTCTGAATTTTGGCAGACCCTGAATCAAGTTGCAGAAGCAGAGTTTTCCTTGGAGAAGTGGGCTGCACAAACCCCCTCCCAGACTTTTGGCACTGCCTGCAGACTAGACTGGGATAGTTACTTGTAGATGCCCAAAAAAGCATCCTTTAATATTACTGCATTGGCATTTATTGCCAAATCTGTTTCTATAAATAATACAGAAGATCTGTTTGCCTCCCGCATTTTTATTAGAGAACCATCTCCTGTGATTTATGGTAATGTAAAGAGAAACCACCAGAAAATTCCTCCCACATTTAATGATGCTTTGAAACTACTGAGAGGAAAAAAAGCCCAGCAACGATGCATTGTGCTCGAGTGGGAGGAAACCTTACTGATGGATGTACATCCTCACAGCAGGATACAGGGACTGGGAGCTGCATGCACACTGGAACACGGAAACACAGACCCAGAGAGACAGGAGAGGTCACCAAAATGGGAAGAGCTTATTTGGGAAGGAGACCAATTCCAGTAAAATAAAATGAAAAGGCGAATGCCAAACAGTTGTCAGGGCAGTGCTGCATGGATTTCAGTTCCCAGCGGCAGCTGTCGCAGGAGTGTTTGGGCTGCTTTCGTGTTTCCAAAGCTCCAGCTTGCTCTTAGCAACAAAAACATAAACAAGCTGATCATCTAATATTAGATCACAGGGATGTCTCCGAACGTGTGGCCTTAAAATTATCTGCGTGAAGCCAAAAGGTTAAAGTAGAAGAGGCTGCTTAGGGCTGAGGGGGAATGAGTGGTGGAGAGCTCTGGAGCGCTGGTTTTGCATCCAGTGGTGGCCAACAAGCCTCACCCTGCCCCACCATAGCGTTTGACCCACAGTGGATCACCTGCTCCTTGTTTTCCAGTTGAATTGTTCAGGAGACGCTCCAGTAGCTGGAAAATAGTGTAAATTACAAAGAGGAGGAAAACAAACAGCAGAGGGTCAGCGGAGGAGGGATCGGTTGGAGGTGTGTGATGCCATGTGCGTGCCTGGCCAGACCATGGCAGGTCAGTGCTGGTGTTGGGCCAGATGTCCTGGACGTTCAGCCCAGCTGCTGCCGTGTGTATTCCATGGATCCAGGGCCATCCTCTCGGCACTCTGCTGCAGCACTGCAGCGTGCTGATGCTGGGACCCTGGAAACCTGCCATCTCCCACAAGGCAGGATTTGTGCCAGGCAATTGCTTTTGGGTTTTTGCTGGGAATTTTGGAGCTGCTGATGAGCGGGGGCCGTCTGGCTGTTGGGATGATCCCCTGCTAGGTTCAGATTGTCTCCCGTTGCAAATGTGTTTGTCCAGCTGAGCTCAAACGGCCCTGGCTCTGCTGAGGGTGGGATTTCAGCCGTGGGGATGTTGTGCCTGCAGTGTCCCACACAGACCCTGTGCAGGACTTATGGTTTCCATTGGCTGTGACCAGGTGGTGGGGAATGGAGGGAACCTGTTGGTTGATGCCTGTAGCTGGATTATCCGCCTTCATCCAGGGTGACAGCGGCCTCTAGTGCCACCAAAAGCTCCTTCCCAAAGTTCATCTGGACCCTTGCCTGTGCAGGGCTCTGCTCACAGCTTCTCCCAAGAGCCCTGGTGTCACAGGTCTGGGCTGCTCAGAGCTGTGTCTCCTGGGTGTGGAAAGGGCCTGCAGGGCATCGTGTCATGCTGGAATGTCACTCGTGCCATGAGATATCTGTGCTGAAGGGAAGGTCTGGGGGATCCAGCTGAACCCTTTCATGCTCTGTGGAAGCTTTGGTTCCCAGAACAGCTGGAAAGGGGGCCAAGCAGCCACAGCTGGCACTGGAGTGGGACACACTTTGCCCGAGAGGACTCTTGAATTTGAAATCTCTCCTGGTTTGCTAAGAGTTAGGATTTTAATTTGACCTTCCTCAGTTTTTTCTCCCCAGACACTGTGTTTATACATCTGAGCTCTGGAATTGTGTGTGTTCTTACTGTTCCTCAGGAAGGTTCCAGCAAGGTGGTTCCAGCACTTGCCAGCAACCTGGTGTAGTTGAGGGTGTCCCTGCCTGTGTCAGGGGGTGGATAAACTTTAAGGTCTCTTCCAACTCAAACCATACTGTGATTCCATGATAAATCCAGAGTAGGAGCAAGGTGGGCTTGTTTTCTGGGCAGCTTTGGGGCTGGCAGGTCTGCTCAGCCTGTGCCTTCATGCCCTCTAAGTTGTCCCCTAGAAATTTTTTTCGGATGAAGGAAGTTCACTGATGTGCCAGGTAAATGTGCCTGGCAAACATTTCTATTTCCTGCTTCATTCCCAAGAGGAATTTATTTTTCATTCTTCATTCTGAGGATCCAGCTGCTAATTATAGTAGCATATATTAATAATATATTAATAATTGAATTCTCCTCCACCAGTTCTGTTAGATGAGCAGTTTTTGGCAAGTCCTTTTACCTCATGATTCTTGTCCTATCCGGATTCAGAGCGTGTCTCCTCTAGGATGAGCACAGATATCCCATATGTCTTTTAACCCTTATTATCTCACTAATAAAATAAAACCCTCTGGTCTCTGTGAAAGTTAAACTGTGAGATTGCATTCAAGGGGTATTTAAATGTTGTTTGAGCGGAACTGGTAGAAAAAGCTGTGAGCATTAGCTCGCTGCCACCTTTTTTTTTTTAGTAGCATTTGACTCTATAATCCTTATCGCTGAGTGATCTAAAGCTGAGTGGTCTTAATCTCCTGGGAAAGGTCCCTGGCTGGTGAAGCAGAGCAGTGGGGATACTTGTGAAAGGAGCTGCAGGGCAAGGCACAGATTCCTGTCCACACCACCCAGTGGACAACAAGAAGTTAAGAGGTTTCTCTCTCTTGTTAAGAACGGACATCTGGCACCTGCTGTGACAGCATTTCTCTGCCACTGCCTCTGCAGTTAATCGCTTTCAGATAAAGTTGTCCCTTTTTTAAAAGGCTGCTGTTGCAGATGACGTGGGAGGGCAGGAATTCTGCTGGCCATGGGATTGTCCATGTTGGGAAGAGTGGAGATTGCTCCTGCTGGATCAGAAATCAGGCTGCTTTTTTTATTTGGAATAAGGTCGAGGTGTGGGCCGGGGGTCAGGGCGGCTGAGCCGGTTTCCTGTAAGGGCGGTGAGCAGGTATGTGCTCTGCTCAGCTGCAGAGGCTCCATCCCCCAGCGCTCAGGGGAAGGGGGGTGGATATTTTGGCATTTGCTTTGGGCGGAGAAGCCCGGGCTGTAGGTTGGCCTGCTAACAAAAGCAGGAGTATATGCAGGATCCTTCAGGAATGGTCGAGGAGAGGAAGCAGGGACCACTCGAGCTAAGCCTTGTAAAAGAACTGCAGCTTGGCAGCGTGGAGCAAGCAGAAGGTAAAACTGCCTTTCCCCAGCCCTGTCCATGCCGAGTTTGTGTGCAATTCCTCTTGGCTTACTAATGGGAACTCCTGCCCCGCTGCACGCGCTTCCCCTGGACTCTGACAGCACATCTGAGTCATGGCACGTTCTGGCTCTGGTGCTGTCCAGGTGCCACTGCCTGAATGCTCAGA